CTGCATTTCAGGGATTTATGGCCCAGCTGGTCAGTCACTGCTGCATTTCAGGGTGTTACAGCCCATCTGGTCAGTCACTGCTGCATTTCAGGGATTTATGGCCCAGCTGGTCAGTCACTCCTGCATTTCAGTTTATAGCCCAGCTGGTCAGTCACTGCTGCATTTCAGAGCTCTATGGGCTCATCTGGTCAGTCACTCCTGCATTTCAGAGTGTTACAGCCCAGCTGGTCAGTCACTCCTGCATTTCAGAGTGTTACAGCCCAGCTGGTCAGTCCTGCATTTCAGGGATTTATAACCCAGCTACCAGCTGGGTAGCTCCTGCATTTCAGAGCTTTATAGCCCATCTGGTCAGTCACTCCTGCATTTCCAGGGGTTTGTTTTTGAGAATTCCTCTCACAGTGAATCTGCTCAGGAAATGCAGGGTTTGAATTGGTTGTGGTTATCAAAACTGAATTTTGTTGAAGGGAAAAAAAAAAAATCAGTGTTTCTCTCCTTTCTCATATGTAAACTCAGTGTTTCTGCACTAAAGGGGTGTTCCAAGAGTTTTCTCCATGGACACATGGGAATATTTTAGGTAGAGTGGAAATGTCTCTATGCTCACCCTAGTCCTTGGATGGATGAACAAAGCCTTGGGTTTTCAAACACCTAAAGGAATTCTCTTCCCTCCACATACCTTTGTGGCTTTTCCCTTTATTGGGAAAATTTTAATTATTAACTTTTTTTTTTTTAATTTATTAATTTTATTTTTTTATTATTCCCTTTATTATTTATCTGTTATTCCCTTTATTTCGCTTTATTTTCCTTTATTCCATTTTTCCCTTTATTCCCTTTATTTAAGCTGCAAACTGTAGAAATCCAGGAGTGCACCTGCACAGTGTTGGATACAGTGTGAGCAATGCACCCTTAAATCCTACTTTAATAACAATATAACTTCCTGTTACTCCCCAAATAGAGGTTTGCTCTCATGTTCCACCCCAAAAGCAGATTTTTGGCTGCTGCCTTGTTGTTTTTTCTCACTGCCCATTCCCTTCCAGCACGGAATATGCCATCAACAAGCTGAGGCAGGAGGGCAACGAGGTGGGGATGTACGTGCTGAGGTGGAGCTGCACCAACTTCAACCACATCCTCATGACTGTGACGTGCCTGGAGGGCTCAGAGGTACAGGCAGCTGGCCATTCCCAGCAGGAATCTGCTCCCTGCAACCCTGGGGATGTGGTTTTGTCCTCAGGGCACTCACCCTGAGCTCTGGGGAGGGAATTGGGTTCTTCTTGCAGCCCTTTGCGCTGTCTCTCCAGATGGGATTAATTGGATCCAAAACAGCTCCGTTCCTGCCAGTCAAACTCATCCAAATCCTCAGATTTATCCAACAGCTCAAATCCTCAAAGTTATCCAACAGCTCCAACCCTCCCAACCAGACTGTGCAGGAACATGATAAAAATGGAGAATTTGAAACTCCTGACATGGAGGATTTGTCACTTCACCTTGCCCTGAGCATGGTGCAGCTTCCCTGGAGCCTTTTTGGGCATGGATTTAATTCCCTTGATGGATTTTATCCTCACACTGGCCTCAGCTGGAAGCCTGCAGCTGACTTGGTGGTTTGGGAGAATATTTAAAGTGTTCACTCAAGAGTAATAATAACTAATAAATAAAGTAGTAAATAGTAAATAATAAATAATAAATCTTTCTCTTAGGAAAAAATGGTCATGGAATCAGTGGTGAATCAGGAAGGGATATTTGATACTGGGTTTATCTCCTGTAGATATTTAAAAATAAAAAATATGATCAGATCTCTCTTTTAACAGTGAAACAAGAAAGGAATTTTAATTTTTTTCTTGGAAAAGAGGGAAGGGGGAGGTGACCCAAAGCTGCAGAGGGGAGGCCCTGGGAGCTCCTGAGATGGGAAGTTCAGAAGTTCAGCCCTTCCTCAGTGAAACTGGAGGATCCCAACACCAGCCTGAAATCTCATTGAACACTCTGGGGTGGGAGAGGGAGTTTTGCTAATTTTAAATGAGAATTTGAAACCCTGCTCTAGATTCTGCAATTCTTGACCCAAGGAAGAGAAAATTCCTCCAGAAGAGGCAACACTTCTGCATAATTTCAGGCTCTGCAAACAAACAACAAGAAAAGCCATAATGTGGGCAATTCCATCTTCATGTTGTTGCTCTTCTCTTTGAGCCTTCCTGGGAGTGGAAATTCCAGGAATTTTAGGATTTTTTTAATGCTCTGTTGCAGTTTGATTAGAGGACTTTGACTTAGGAGCAGGGGGTGAGCTGGTCCTTCATGTTCTGCCAAGATTTTGGGAAGCTTTGAGTGCTTTACAAACCATTCTTTCACTCCAGTGATTTCCTTTCTTTTCCCTCCAACCCCAGGTGATGAATAACTCAGGCCCCTACAAGAACTTCCAGATCGAGGTGAAGAAAGGGGGGTACTTCCTCCATGGCTCCAACAAATCCTTTGCATCCTTGAAAGACCTCATGGATCACCTGAAGGGACAAATCCTGCGGACAGACAACATCAGCTTCACCCTGAAGAGGTGCTGCCAGCCCAGACCCAGAGGTAGCCTGGCCTGGCAGGGTTTTCTTGTTGCAAGGGAACAAACTCCAGACTCTTTTAGTGTATTTTTAGTGCTGTATCCTGCTGGGAAGCTCTTAAAAAAACCTCAAAAAACCAAAAAGGTTTAAAGTTTTTTTCCTTCTCTGGGGAGGAGGAGTTCTGTCAGATGCCATGGGCAGGTTTGAGGAGGTGAAAAGAAGGTTGGAACCTGCTGGGTTTGCTCTCCTTGTGAGCTGCTGTTCAATAACTCATTTGCACCAGGCAGCAGGGAAGGGTTTTGATCCCAAAACTGATGTCCTGGAGGGGCTGGTGGCAGGAAATCAGTGAGGTCCCCTCTGAGGAACATGGAGCAGTGTTGGGTGCTGCCAGCCAGCTGTATTTTGATCCCAAAACTGATGTCCTGGAGGGGCTGGTGGCAGGAAATCATCAGTGAGGTCCCCTCTGAGGGACGTGGAGCAGTGTTGGGTGCTGCCAGGGCTCTCTGGAGCTGTTTGCTGTGAACTCAGAGCCTTGCAGCTGAGTTTGGAGTGAGAGAGGAAGCACAGAGGGGTGATTGTGCTGAGCTGATAATGGTTTCCTGTTAGCACAGGGGAATTACTGAGCCACATCAATCACCTGCTGCTCTGAGGCTTTGGGAGAGTCCCTGAGCTGCTCACTCTGCACCCAGAACGTGGCTCATGGTCTGGGGCAGGGGCACGTTGCACATTTGACATTTTGGTTTCGTTTTGATGGCTGGATTTGGGATAAAATGAAATAAAAAAAGGTCAGGGAGTTGATTGCCCACTTCAGCTTCTCCCTGGCTTTAGTTCCAGCAGGATTCAGTGCATGTTCCCTGTTCTGTCCCTTCCCTGGTGGGTTTTTCCTTCTTTTTGAATATTTGATCAGATATTCACAAAGAAGTGCAGGGCTGCAGGACTAAAGCAGGGTGTGGTGATTCCAGAATTCCAGAAGATGATTTGGCCCCAGTGGCAGGTTCTGCTCACAGCAAGAGGAAGCCCAGATGCCCACACAGATCCCAATCCCAGTAAATAATGCCAGGAAGGCAGAATTCATGTCCAAAACTTCTGGATCTGTCCTGCAGCAGTGGGGAGGCAGCACTGGATTGTTGAGTCTGTTCCTCTGCTCATTCCCCATTCCCCAGCTGAATTCCAGTGCCCTGGGAACACTGCTGGTGATTCCCAGGGTAGAGGGAGTTTGGAAGGAGCTGAAGAGGAAATGAGACCCCCCCCTTGCACACTGGAGAGGAGATGGCCCTGCTGGCAGGGGGGCATGTGGGACATTTGATTCCATTTGATTTCATTTTATTCCATGTGCAGCACAGCTATTTCCTCTTTCAATCTTTGTGCAGAAAATTCTGTTCAGTTGTTCAAAATCATCCTGATCTGGCTGATAATAACTCTATATTTAAAATATAAACGTGAAAATGTGCTTTAGTGATTTCTCTGTTGAATGAGGAGCAGAAATCAACCCCAAGTTTCTTTTTCCCTGCCTTTTTTTGGGATTTTAATGCATTCCCATCCACGCTGGTACTGGGAAGGGGGACTGCAGTTTCTCTGAAAAGCTTTAAGGATATTTTTCTCCCCCTGCCTTGCAGAAATCTCCAACTTGCTGGTGGCAACCAAGAAGGCCCAGGAGTGGCAGCCAGTGTATCCCATGGGGCAGCTGAGCTTCCACCGGATCCGCAAGGAGGAGATCGTGCAGGTGGGAGCCTGGGGGGTCTGACACCCAGGGAACCCCCAGAACTCTGGGGTTACCATTTAAAGCTTAGAATTAAACCCAGGATTTGACCTGAAACCTTTGGGAAAGGCTCCCAAACTGAGGTGGTAGAAGCGAGAATGTGGATTTATAGTTTATGTATAGTTTAAAGCAGAGACAGGTTAAGCTAAATAAAAGAAAGTTTAGAGTTTTAGAGTTTAAGATAGAGAAAAAATAAAAGTAATTACAAAGGTAAACAGAGAGTTTAGAATGCAGAACTGTAGGTTTGTGTGCCATATCATGATTGGCTAAGAAAGCTCACACTGTAGCATGAGTCTAAGAGACCAAATATGCAAAGATGGGTCAAAAACATAAATATCCTTGTTGTCAGTGTTTTATTGGTTAATAAACCCTTAAAAGGATTGTGACTGGAGGTCTTGTGACCTTCTGAGCCATGCAGTGAAGATGTGAGCCCAGCTCACCCTTCCTACCAGTGTAGAAGATAAGAAAAATAAATCACATCATCTCAAGCACTCAGTTCCCATCTCTGATTCATTCAGAGCTCCCCACCCCGAGCTGCCCTGGGAGCCCGAGCGTGGCTGTCCCTGAGCCCTGCAGGGACACCAGACACCCCTGCTGCCTGCTCCTGCTTCTCCAGATCCCTCAGCAAACCCCAGCTGGAGCTCTATTGGGATTTAAGCCTCTGCTTGCAGAATCCTGCTGTTTCTGTGGACAAAGAGGAGCTTGGGTGTGATGCCTTTCACTGGAAATGAAATGGATATTTAAGTTTTCTAATGGAAAACATTGGTTTTAAGGGCATTTCTTGGGAGTCTTAAGGGCTGGTTTGTTGTGGGTGTATTTTTTAAAGCCTGACTTATCAGAGAAACAGAGATTTAAGACAAAATTCTACAGTAAAAAAGGTGACGTGTTCAAAAGCTCTGAGCAGTCAGAATTCTGTGATTAAGCCTTCCCAAATTTTCAAATTTTCCCTTGTTTTAGTTACTTAGGTCACCTGAATAAACCTCAGCAAACATACAGGGCCTTGAATACACTTTAATCAGATTTAATGTTGTCAAAAGAGCTCTTAAATCGTGCCCTTGGCTTCTTCTGTGAAATAAAAGGTATTGGGGTTTTTTTGTTGTCACTGCAGACAGAGATTGGATTTGGGTTGGTGTGTTTACAGGCAGCATCCTGCAAAAATATCCCAAGGCAGGATGTTATTTTGGAGGAAATTGCTTCCCCAAACAAAGGCTTCCAGTGAAATATTACTTCCTCTCGCTTTTGGAAACACATTAAAGATCACCTCAGCAGCACTTTGTGAATAAGAGCCGAGCTGTTGTTTATTCTTTTGTTTAGTCTGGGAGTGCTCAATCCCAGGGAACCTGTTGGGTGATGTGGAGGTGTAATATCCAAGGAATTCATGTGGGGAGGATGCTCAGAGCTTGATGCCTCAGGTTTTGGCTTTTATATTTTCACATTCTGAGCTGCTTTAGTGTGTAATTCTGAGCTTCACACCAGGGGATGCTGAGCTCTGTGCACAGAGCAGGGAGACAAAACAATTCCTGCTCCAGCTGGGCACCAAGGACAAATGATCCAAACCTCAGCCCAGGAGCACAAACAGCGTGGGCTGGAGAGAGAAAAACAAGCAGGGTGGGACTGATGGGCTGGAGCTGGAATGGGACAATGAACTCCAAGGTGCCAATGGAGCAGAACTGATCCCAGGAGAGCCCCGGGAGCGCTCGTGCATTTTGGGACCATTTTGGGTCATTTGGGTGCAGCCCTGGCTGGGCTCTGGTGCTGCCCAAGGTGGATCCATGGAGGAGATGCTTTGGAGAAATCCCTGCTTTATTCTGGGACTCTGCCCAGCCTCTGCTCCAGGGCAGCCCCCACAAGGCATCGAGCTCACTGAAGCAAAAGCAACTCCATTTTTGGGTTCTCACAGAATAATTTCAGTCTGTAACCGGGTCAGCCAGGCAGAAAGAAGTGCAGATTCCAATAAATATTTGTGTAATTCCTGTCTGAGTCCTGTGTGACAAATCCCTGCTGCTGTGTCTCAGGGAGAACACCTGGGAAGAGGGACCAGGACCCAGATTTACTCAGGGATGCTCAGCCTCAAGGATGATGAGAACGAAGGGTATCAGAATGAAAGAGAGATCCGAGTCCTGCTCAAAGTCCTGGACCCCAGCCACAGAGACATTTCCTTGGTAAGTTTTTTTCTTTTGGGTATCTTTTCTTTAATATAAGAAATAACACATTGATTAATCTTGTTTTATAAAATTACATAGAGATATGTAAGATAAGGGCATAAGTTGTTATTACTAACATTTTTTAGTTACAAGTATAAAGAAGCATCAGAGTAAAATAATGTATATAATAGAAAAAAACTGATAGCAATTAGGAATTAATTAGATAATACACATAATCAATAACACATGTGAAATTAGATAGCTATCAAATATTAAAACACTGTATGTTATCTTAGAGTCTTTAACAGTTGATACATTTTAAATTAGTAGAGAATTGGAAAATTATGTCTAAATAACGATTCTCTAAGTTCTCTTTAGAAATAAATCTAGTTATTATATTAATACAGTTAAATTATTAAGGTAAAGTGACTTAAATATTCTTTTGATGTAGAAAACACCTAGGTTTGTTGTCAGATACCTTATCTAGATGGAACTAAAGCTTAACTACATGGCTGGCTTTAAAAAAGGGCTGAGGGGGAAGCTCAGTGCCCAGAATACGGAATGCTGAGGGGCAGCTCAGTGCCAGGACTGGGAATGCTGAGGGGCAGCTCAGTGCCAGAGTGGGGAATGCTGAGGGGCAGCTCAGTGCCAGG